CAGAGGGCCCTCACCCAAGCTTCTTGTGTTGGGAGCCTAGGGCCTGGTCACTGGTTTTGTGTGCTGGAGCCTCTGATGTTGGCAGTTGGAGGCTGTAAGGTTCTGGTAGCTTACCTGGTGTTGGGCTGGAATCAGTAACACTGTAACTCTAGGGGTAGGATTGGGTGGTGTGACCCCTTGAGATTTCCTGATTACCTGGGCATTTCATTCCTTTCATTTTCTTTAGTTCCTTTCAGACGGATGTTTCAGGGTGTTTATCTGCCTGGGGCCCTTTGTTGCTTCCCTTAGTTTTGCTGAGGCGCTGGGAAACCCAGTTGCTGTAGAATGCTGGGGCACCTGGTGGTTTTCCAAGCTGGTTTTCCACCAGTTCCCCCACCCTCACTGAGTCACTTGGAAGTCTAGGTGTTGGTGTTTACCTGCTCCACCACCTGGGTTTCAGGATCTCCTCCTGGTAATGCTGAGGTGGGTCTTTCTGCTAGCTTGCTGGGATGCCTCCTGTTCTGTACTGCTCCTTTTCCCCCAGGGCAAGAGTGGCCTTTCCAGTTAATCCCTCAAGCTACCTGGGCTACTGGACTACTGCACCCCATCTTTCTTCTGGTTCAGCTGTTCCAGGGTTTTTCCTGGGGCATTATTGTCTGGGCTTTCAGAGGTTAATAAGGGAGTGTAAGAGTGACTTACTTCTTACTCCACCATCTTAGCTCCTGGAAGCAGTAGTCCCATGTTTCTAATAATGATTGTCTTAAAACTACTTTGTTTCCCTAATACTTTCTTATGTAACATTATCATTTACTGGCTTTGTGACCTTGGATCAATCATCTTCCCTTGCCAGGCCATATCTTTACACTGAGTGGGTTGGACTAGATAACATGTAAGGTCCCTTTCACCTCTAATCTCTAGACATGCTATAACACCCAAGATGTTAATGAGAGTGAATACCTGGTTATAAAGAGATTACAGGAATGCTTGTACTAACACTGCACAGAGGAATGGCAACACTTGGCAACTCTACTCCTCATTTTGCAGTCTCATGTAGCAGTTCCAGAGTGGAGAAAATCACTTGCAGTCACAAAGGAGCAAACACCCAATCTTGGAAGACTAGAGCACAGAATGGCAAGGCAGAGATCAGACCTCTCCTTATATCATACCACCTTGTAAGTACTAAAAACTTAAAGGATACAGACCTAGCTGTGAAAGGTCTGCTCTCTGATTTGCTTGTGTGTGCTGTACTTTTGGGTGGTGAAGCTCTCAATATAGCTGCTGCTTCTATTGCTTCAACCAATACTGGTGCTAACTAGTAAATAGCTGGTGTCACTTCAACCATACTGCATTCCTGGCCAGCTACCACCATAGTATGCACAGATTTCTCTTCCTGTTTACCTAAGCTGCCCTGGGACGCAAAAATAACTCACTTTGATTTTTTTTTATTAGTTATCCCACAAAGAATTTGGTTTGATGCACTTATTTTAATTCTTTAAAGTAGAATGTTGGGAGACCTGAGAAAGAAATGATAAATTTACTCCAAGGTCTTGGCTCTGTAAACCAGGGTTTTATTACCTTGAAGCACTTTGCTTATTGTGTGAAAATGAACCTCAGTGGGTATTTAAGTTAAAGGAAGAAATTTACACTTTTCATAGTGATACTAATGTATATATGCATGTATATGTATGAATGTATGTATATGTAATGTATAAATATATAAACACATACACAAACACAAAACAGATATGCATACAATTTGTATATTATATATGCATATATTATATGTACAAATATAATACATATATAATATAATAGATACATATATAATTTTATAATAAATTTCTGTATTGGGTATTTATAATAAATAAATTCTATGATAAAAATTTCAAACTAAAATTAGGATATGATAAAGTTTTAAAAGCTGAGTAAAAAAAATTTAAATTAAACATTTACAAAAACTTGAAGCTAGAAGTAATAGATTTCTGAGATTTTTGTGTTTTTGTAATTTGAAAAATGTTTGTCACAGAATCAAACATAAGAAAGTAAAGGTAGGTTTAATAATCACTTTAACAATCTTGTGAAGAAATTCTCATTGTATTTTAAAGACTTAGAGCTTTATAAGTATAAATAGATAGTGAGCTCATGTGTTATCGACATATATTTAATATTTGGTTTTATGCCATATGAACAATTCAAGCTCATTGACTTGTCTATATAGGCCAAGGAAACAGTTGAGCATCCAGCAGAGACATAGCCACAGATAACCTCTGTACTTTCCTTTCATTTGGATGGACTAACACAACCAACAGATTCTACATTACTGAACATGTAATTATGTTAGTCTTTCTGCTAAACTTTAATTTATTTTTAATTAAGAAAAATCTGTTTTCTCTCAGGGGCAGCTGGGTGGTATGGTGAATATAACACTAGGTCTGGAGTCAGTAGGATCTGAGTTCAAATCTAGCCTTAGTAACTGTGAGATCCTGGGAAAGCCAATCAACCCCTGTTTGCCTCAGTTTGCTCAACTGTAAAATGAGGTACAGAAGGAAATGGCAAGCCATTCTAGTATCTTTGCAAGGAAACCCCAAATGAGGTCATGAGTCAGACATGACTGAATGATGGAACAATAACAACAGCATTTTCTTTCTCCCTCTCCCACCAAGCCCCACTGGAAAAATAAAAATAAATCCCTTGTAACAAATACGCACTTCAGCAAAACAAGCCCCTGAGTTGGCCATTTCTAAATACTCTGTCTCATTCTGCACCCAAGGTCCATTTTCTTGCTGTATGGAAGTAGCAAGTTTCATTATCTAGAATCGTAGTTGGTCATTATATAAATAGGAGTTCTCAAGGCTTTAAAGTTATAAATATTGATACTCACTTTACCACTTCATGAATTTGTGATTTCCGTGTAGGGTGTATGCCTTCCACCAATGCCATTCTTATTCCCCCTGTGACTTAGTAGATGGCATCTGAGTCATTCTGTGCTCAGAAATGTCATCACTCTGGTGATGGCCATTTGGAGATGACCATTGCCAGTGTGTCTATGCCGGACCTTGGGTAATAGACCCATAGAACTTGAGAGTTTGTGATCTATGGGCATAGCATGTAAGAACCCACAGCAATGTCTACATCACCTTGAAGCATCAGAGAAAGACTTCAGGAAACATAGCATACAAAAAGCATACCACGTCTATAGATTGGAGATGAAAGGAACATTACATGTTATCTAGTCCAACCCACTCAGTGTAAAGATATGACCCAGCAAGGAAAGTTGATTGATTCAACATCAAAAAGCTGGTAAGTGATAATATAACAAAGGAAAATATTTGGGAGACAAAACAGTTTTAAGAGAATCATTATTAGAAACACAGGAGGCCTGCTATTAAGTAAGGACTGCCTTGCAGGAGTACTATTCTTAAGGAGTGTTTCGGCCTATGTCTCATCATATAAATGTACCTCTTATCCTCAAATGCAATTGCTGTGCATATTTGTCCTCAGCAGCACAAAGTACAGAGAGGGAATCATTATGGAATCAGGCAACAGATGAAGTCCAGAGGTAAGGAATTTACTAAAGTAATAAAGTGAGTACACTGGATGAGTTGAGTTGGAATTTATTCTGTCATCCATTAATATAATTCCTAAAAGGATGCTGATGCCCAAGAGAAGCTTATGATATTATGTTACAGGAGGTGGCAATGTTATTTTTCTTGTTGGGAAAGGTATGGACATTCTTGCATTATACCAAAATGATGGGCAAAAGGATGAATGGCTTTATGCCAGAGGATGGATTCTTGTCACTGAAAGGAAGAAACTGTGAAACTTGCTTCCCTGGGAGGTTCATGAATTAAGCCCAGTTCCAAAACGTGTGTCTGTATTCGGCCAATTGGCTTCCATGGTAGCGTGAGCTTTCCAGTTTTTCAGGATGGCTGAAATGAATGGAAGGCTAAAGAATGAGGCAGCTGAGAAATGAAACTTCAATTAAAAAGAACTTTCAGGGCAGGCAACACTAAGCTACAGCACATGTTGCCATCAGAATATATTTTATAATCACGTGATGGAAATCGACTTGGCCCATGGTCTACTCTTTAAAATGGAGAGCAAACACGAGGAAGGTAAGCATGGTGAAAGACCTAAAGTCCATCTCACATGAGCACAGGTTGAAAGAATTGGGATGTTTATCTTGGAGGAAAGAAGACTCAGGAGGGACACAAAATCTGTCTTCAAGTATTTAAAGTAATGTCATGGGGAAGTCAGACTTACTCTGTTTGGACACAAATGGCAGAACCCAGAGCCAAGGCAGGAAGTTGCAAATGGGAAAATTTAGCTCTCACGTTTGGGAAAATCTTCCAAACAGTTGGAGTTGCCTCAAAGTAGAAGGGGCTGCCTTGGGAAGTGGTAGGTTATTCCTCTTTGAAGGTCTTTAAGCAGAGGGACTAGATGGGTGTGGATTATGTGAGTCTATGAATTGCCCAACTACTAAGAAAAAACACAAAGTAAGAAAGAATTAGCAAAGCCACTTGGCTTTGTGGCTTGTTTGTTTATTGCCAGGAAACCTCAGTTCTATTTGGAAATTGCCAGGCCTGAAGACAATGGAAAATCAGCATAAGAGGGAATGTAGTAAGGAAAAATCTTTGGAATCTCAGTACTGAAATCTTAGGGTGAGATAAAGTCTAGCAGTGAACTTTCTTCTCAAACAGCATAATCTGGTGATTGAAAGCCAAAAGGGAGGACAAGAAGATTGGAGTATTAGGTTAGGGCTTGACCTGAGAAGCTCAACATCAAATTCAAAGTTCTTAACCACGCAAGAAGGAGAGACCAACAGAGAGGTGACAGTCGGCACTGAAGAAGGAACCTAAATAGCCAGCCACTGCTGAAGGTTTCCAAATGGGTCTCTTGTGATCAGCTTAGAAGTGGTGAACTATACAAACTCTACTCATACTGATTCACATGATTAAGAGAACTGATGTCTCCCAGGGGTGGGTTGAGGATGGTGAACAGTCATATGCTGGTCTGTACATTTAGCAGCAAGAGGAACCACAGCAGGCTGGGCGGCAGCAGGTGGTTCTGCAGCAGGTGGTCTGGCAGCAAGTGGGGCGGCAGCAGGGCTGGCAGCAGCTGGACCCACAGCAGCTGGGGCGGCAGCAGGGCTGGCAGCAGCTGGACCCACAGCAGCTGGGGCGGCAGCAGGGCTGGCAGCAGCTGGACCCACAGCAGCTGGGGCGGCAGCAGGGCTGGCAGCAGCTGGACCCACAGCAGCTAGGGCGGCAGCAGGTGGACACAATGCAGGTGGGCCTGTAGCAGTTGGTCCTGCAGCAGGTGCTCTGGTAGCAGGGAGGTCGGAAGCAGCAGCCAGTCCTGCAGCAACAGGGGGCACAGCAGCCAGAGCCACAGCTCTGGCCAGAGCAGGTAGAGCCACAACAGGAGCTGACCATGGTGTTGGTGGATTGGGCTTCTGGGTTTGTTTCCAGGTGAGTGGGTGACTTGAGTTTGAAAGTCCCCTGACCCCACAGGGCTCTTTTATACCATCCTGAATGGCAGCCATCACCAGTAATAGCTTATTTCCTCGTTATTGTTTAGCAAGAGGGAAAAATGACCCTCAATTTAGATAATTTCTGTAATGAGGGGGGGAAGAAACTTATTTCCTCTAACCTGTTACGATTCATCTACTTTTCTACAGATCTGATTAAATCCATATGACTAGGTCACACAGAATATCAGAACTGGAAGCAACCTCAGAGGCTATCTCCCCATCTATGTCTGAACAACATGCTTATAATGTGACTTCTTCTTTGAAATCAGGTTAGTTAGGGGCATCACCTCTGTTCATTTTTGTTTTCCTGCCTCCACCTTCTAGTCCTCATGTGATAGACAGCCCAGGCCAGCCTTTGATGTCACTCTGTTTTATCTATGTATCATCCTGTGACTCACAGAGAGATGTAGTTCATGTATGGTGAAGGCACCTTGGGAAGTGTTTATGTTCCTGGTAAATCGCCCCTTGTTTCTAGAGCTAAGTAGACTTGAGAAAAGTCTGGGTCCTCCTAAATTCTAATGCCTACCCTCTGTCCATGCTCTCTACATACCTTGTTTCTGCATTATTGCTTTTATGCTGTCTCTCCATTATTTCTACCCCCAGGGCCCAGTACTGTGTCTGGAACCTAGTAGTCACTTAACGATATATATTGACTAATTGACTGATATTCCATGTACAGTTAAAGCAATGATTGGGTACAGGGACAGGGGGGTTGCTCCTGGCAGTCCTTTCTGATTCACTGATGATCACTGATGGACAAGAGGGTTCAGCTTGATTGAGATTACTATTGGTCATAGAAACAATTAAAGATGTGACCTCCTTTCCATTTGCATGTGAAAAACAAATTTTCAAGTGGCTCTTGAGTGGGAGGAGGTGGTGGTGACATCAACAATGAATGAAGCAATTCCTCCAACAGAGTGAGCCAGTGGTGATGACTCCCTAGAGCCTTCAGGTATGAGCAAAGTGGGGCTGGAAAAGGACTGAATAATCCAGGTCAGAGGAGATCCGGAAGCTTTTTCAGCACTGGGACACCAGCTCTTGAAGGGCTACTGACTTCAACTCATGGAGGCTGCTGGCAGAGATGATAGATGAGGATCACACATCAGTAAGACATCTTCAGAAAAAAAAATCTCAGGCTCAACACAGTAAATATGGATTCACAGAAGAGCAAAAGGAGAGCATTGGTAAAATTGCAACATGCTTGGAATTACAAAGTGCAGTTTTACAGTCTATGCTGTCTCAAGATTAACTTAAATAGGAGGACCTAAAAAAGCTAGAACCGATCCTAAAGAATAACATTACTTTTACTACAAGAAAATTCTCCTTTCATGGTCAGCATGTTCCACTAACAGTAATTTTAGTGCCTGGTGAAGAAGAGAATTTGAAATTCTAGGATGATGATGAAAAGGGTGGTGCTAGAACAGCATAGTTCATTTGCTTTGTGTATCACATAATTCTAAACAGTTGCATATTAAATTTGTGGGGTAAACTCAAGCAAAGCAATTCAATTTATCCTTTCGTGCTTTAAGGGAAATATTCTCTGCTTTCATCAATCCCCAGTTCTTTGCCACCACTAAAACAATTGCTATGAATATTTTTGTATGTATAGGTCTTTTACCTCTTTTTTTTTCATCTCTTGAGGATTAGAGTTCGTAGTGGTGTTGCTTGATCAAAGGGTATGCATGATTTCATGGCCCTTTGGCACAGTTACAAATTTGTCCACAGAATGGTTGAATCACTGTACAACTTCATCGACAATGCCTTAGTGTCTCCATTCTTCCATATGCCCTCCAACATTCATCATTTTCAAGTTCTGTCATATTAGTCAACCTGATAGGTATGGGTTGGTAGCTCAGAGTTGTTTTAATTTGCATTTCCCTAATTAACAGTGTTTTAGAATTTTTTTTGTATGACTATGGATAGTTTTGGTCACTTCATCTGAAAACTGCCTGTTCATATCTTCTGACCATTTATCAATTGAGGAATGGTTCTTATTTCTATAAATTTGAGAAATGAGGTCTTTATTGGAGAAACACACTAAATTTTTTCCACAGTTATGATGACTACATGTTTCACTCCATTCTACTTTCCCCTTGTTTAGCCTACTGTCTCTCCTTTCACCCTGTCCATTATCAAAAGTGTTTGCTTCTGAATTTTGCCTCCCTGCTACTGGCCCTCCCTTCTACCAGCACCTCGCTTTTCTTATCCACTTGCCTTCCTGCTTTCCTGTACGGTAAGATAGATTTCTACATCCAGCTGGATTGTATATGTTATTTCTTCTTGGAGACAACTCCAATGAGAGTAAGGTTCACTCACTTCCCTGCCCCACTTCCCCCATCTTTCCCCTCCACTGTAAAAGCTCTTTTGTGAACTCTTTTATGTCTGCCAATTTACCCCATTTTATTTCCCCTTTTCACTTTCTCCCAGTCTATTCTTTTTTCTCACCCCTTAATTTAATGTTTTTAGACAATCATCCCATCACATTCAAATCATACCTCTTCCCTCTATCTATGTATACTCCCTTTAACTGCCCTAATAATGAGAAAGTTTTTCGGAACTACAAGTACCATTTTCCCATGTAAGAATATGAACAGTTTACCCTCATTGAATCCCTTATGATTCTCTTTCCTGTTTTCTCTTTTTATGCTTCTCTGAAGTTTTGTGCTTCAGAGTCAGATTTTCTATTCAGCTCTGCTCTATTCATCAGGAATTCTCGAAGGTCCTCTATTTCGTCAAATGTCCATTTTTTCCACCTGAAGATTTATACCTAGTTTTTCTGGGCAGGCAATTCTTGGTTGTAATCCTAGCTCTTTTGCCCTCTGGAATATCATATTTTAAGCCCTCTGATCCTTCAGTGTAGGTACTGCAAAATCTTCTGTTATCCTCACTGTGGCTCCAGGATACTAGGATGGTTTCCTTCTGGCTGCTTGCAGTATTTCCCCCTTCTCCTGGGAGCTCTGCAATTTGGCCATAATATTCCTGGAAGTTTTCACTTTGGGATCTCTATCAGGAGATGATTGGTGGATGCTTTTCATTTCAATTTTACCCTCTGGTTTTAGATTATCAGGGCAGATTTCCTTGATGATTTCTTGAAAAATGATATCTAGGCTCTTTTGTTGATCACGGCTTTCAGGTAGTCCAATAAGTTTTCAATTATCTCTCCTGGATCTATTTTCCAGGTCAGTTGTTTTTTCAAAGAGATATTTCTTTTTTTCTTCTATTTTTTTCATTCTTATGATTTTGTTTAACTCATTCTTGATGTCTCATAAAGTCATTAGCTTCCACTCCCCAGATTACAATTTTTAAGGAGTTATTTCCTTCAGTAAGCTTTTGTGCCACCTTTTCAATTTGTCCAGGTCTCCTTTATAAGGAGTACTTGTCTTCAGTGAATTTTTGTAAACCTTTTTTCCATTTGACTACTTCTGCTTTTTAAGGAGTTCTTCTCATGAAGTGAATTTTCGTATGCCTTTTTTTCCCGTTAGCCAACTCGGCTTTTCAAGGCCTTCTCTTCACTGTATTTCTGTGCATCTTTTACTATTTGGCCTATTCTGTTTTTTAAGGTGCTATTTTCTTCAGTATGGTTTTGTGTGTGTGTGTGTGTGTGTGTGTGTGTGTGTGTGTGTGTGTGTTCATGTGTGCACGCGCACATGTGCGTGCCTCCTTTACCAAGCTGTTGGCACATTTTTCATGATTGTCTTGCATCACTCTCATTTCTCTTCCCAGTTTGTCTTCTACCTCTCTTTCTTATACCTTTAAAAACACTTTTAATTCCTTTTGTACTCTTTCATGGCCTGCAGCCAGTCCTTATTTTCCGTTGAGGCTTTGGAGGTAGCAATTTTGACTTTTTGTGGTTTTTTCTGAGCGTGTGTTTTGATTTTCCTTGTCACCACATCAACTTTCTATGCTCAGGATATTTTTCTGCTGTTTGCTCATTTTTTAGCCTTTTTCTCAACTTTTACCTCTATGGTAAAGTGGGTCTCTGCTTGCAGGGTGGAGGGGGCACCATCCTGAGCTTCCGGGGTTTTGGTGTGGCTGTTTAAATAGGCTATTCTGGAGACCTGTAAATTTTCGTTTCTTCCAAAGAAGCTTGATCTAAGGAGAGGTGTGTTTGCAACTCTCCTGGACTGTGCTCTCATCTGCGAGGGATCACAAGCAGTTTTTTCCACCCTGGAACTGTGTCCAGCATCCCAGGTCCCCTGTGGCCACGAGCAGTGATATGTTAGTGCTCTTCTTCACCCTGAGACTGAGGCCCAGGACTGTGACTCAAATCCATATATGGGCAATTCAATAGAACTCTACCCCTTGTGGCAGCAAGTGGACCCCTGTAATCTCCTTCTGACCAGTTGTGTGACCTCTCTTACTATCTATGCCTGAGAAGTCCAGAAACCCTGCACTGCCATCACTGATTCAGTTGCCCCAAAGGCCACTGCTGTTTGGGTGGGCACAGCCTGTATTGGACTGTGGTCCACTCTCATCCTGGTGCAGCAGACCTTTCCTGTCAACCTTAAAAATTGTCTTGGTTGGGAAAGTTGCTCCTTCCCATCCACTTGTGTGTTCTGCCATTTCAGAATTTGTCTTGGGACACTGTTTAAAGTTGTTTGGAGGGGTTTGGGGGAGAGCTGTGGAGAGACCCAAGCTTTTCTCCACCATCTTGCCAGAACTTAACCTTTTACAAATTTGTATTGATATCTGTATTATCAACATCATTTATGAATGTGCCCCTCCTTCTTTTCCTACTCAATTGGCCACGTCTTATAAACAAAATAATAAAAATGAGGAGGGAAAAAAGAGACAGTTCATCAAAATTAGCAAACATATTCATCAGGTCCACAAGCAATTTTCCTCCACCTCTACAAAGAGAGGAGGGAGATAAAATTTATCTTCCCTTCCCTCTCCTTCTCTTGCCTTTCTTTCCTTTCCCACTTCTTTCTTCCCTTCCTCTCCCCTTCTTTCATATCCCTTCCCTCACATTCCTTCCACTTCCCCCAACTCAACTCACCTTCCATTCCCTCTTCTTCCCTTGCCTGCCCTCATCTTCCTTTCTGCTCCTTTCCTCTCACTTCCCTCACCTTCCCTTCCCTCTCCTGATTTCTAACCCCTCTCTTTTCCTCCTTTCCCTTCTGATCCTCTCCTCTCCTTTCTCTTCTCTCCTGCAGTGACAAACTTGGTTATTTTAAGGATGAAGGATCCTCTGACACAATTCTGCTATTTCTCTGGGGATGTATCCTAAGGGAAAACATTTCCTTTCTCTAAGTCTCAGTTGCCTTGGTTCTAAAAGGCAACGATTGGGTTATATTACCTCTAAGTTTTCTTCCACCTCCAAAATGCAATGGACATACCCACAAATAGAGACCCATTGACATTCATCGCAGACATAGAATTTCTCATGTCTATTATTCACACCCATGTCTAAGTGAGCCCAAGTAGCCCAAAACAGAAGGATGTTTTAATTTCTTGGCAAATTTCTTCTGCCACCACCAAATGGAACAGAGAGCAATCACCTTCAAAAGCTTATAGTCTTTCTCTTTCACTAATTCAGCAAGAACCATACATTCCAAATGCTCCTCAGCAGAGCAAAGCCAGTCATGGTGACCACAACCTGCTGTAGTATATGTGGAGATCACTAGGAACAAACACTATGGAGGAAGGTCGTTATAAATACAGTCATAATGCTCACTTTAATTTGGCATACCTTAACAATAATCACACTGTGGGCCACTATCTCTCTCACTTCCCTTATTTTGACTCCAAAACAAGGAACAGAACAATTATGCTCAACTCTATTTCTCACCAAGGAAACCTTATTGATTCCCTTTGAGGCCCAGGTCCATTTCCTTGGTTGTGGGACAAAACCACTTAGTCAACAAACACCTGCACCCTGACAAGGAAATTTTCCTATTCTCTATCCAAATGACAGAAATCTTCCTCCCCTTCTTCCCCTTCCTCCCCTCTCTTTTCTGGCATAGAACCTAAAAGAAAAGTCCAGGCGGGATACATTAATTATTTTGGACCAGGAAAAGACATTGAGGATCCAGGAAAACTGTCCTCCAGTTGTAGGACTGTCATGTTGAAGCCAGGAATTTAGTTGCTTCAACTTGGCCACAGAGGCCAGAACTAGGAGCAATGGGAAGATGTTGAAGATAGTAATATGTAGGCTTGAGAGAAGGAAAAACTTGCTATTAATAACTGTCCTAACAATGATGACATGCTTTAAGGTGCACATAAACAAGTGGCAAAAGACAAGGGGTGATTCAAAAATAAAGCATTAATTGAAAAGTCTTAAGTGGAGAAGCAATTGCTTTTTTGTTCTGGCCAAGTTAGAACATTTAACCTAAAAAAATGTTACTGATTAATCTGATGATCACTTTTTTTTTACATCATGAAACAAATAAGGAAATAAACAGGAGCTAGCAATGGCAACCATTTAGAAGTGGGGTATAAAAGAGGTCTATGAGGCCAGCAGACATCCATACTCAAGAAACTCACTCACCAGGAAACCAACCCAGAAACTCAATCCCCCAACACCATGGTCAGCTCCTGTTGTGGCTCCACCGGCTGTGGCCAAAGCTGTGGTTCTGGCTGCTGTCAGCCCTGCTGCCGCCCCTGCTGCTGTTTGACCAGCTGCTGCCAGCCCTGCTGCCGCCCCAGCTGCTGCGGGTCCAGCTGCTGCCAGCCCTGCTGCCGCCCCTGCTGCTGCATTTCTAGCTGCTGCCAGCCCTGCTGCCGCCCCAGCTGCTGCGGGTCCAGCTGCTGCCAGCCCTGCTGCCGCCCCAGCTGCTGCGGGTCCAGCTGCTGCCAGCCCTGCTGCCGCCCCCGCTGCTGCATTTCTAGCTGCTGCCAGCCCTGCTGCCGCCCCAGCTGCTGCGGGTCCAGCTGCTGCCAGCCCTGCTGCCGCCCCAGCTGCTGCGGGTCCAGCTGCTGCCAGCCCTGCTGCCGCCCCAGCTGCTGCATTTCTAGCTGCTGCCAGCCCTGCTGCCGCCCCTGCTGTTGCAGGACCACTTGCTGTAGAACCACCTGCTGCCGCCCAGCCTGCTGTGGGTCATCGTGCTGCTGAACTCTCACACACCTGTCTGCAACTGCCCACCATCCCCACCCCATCTCAAACAGGCACCACTTAATTGCTTCCTGTCATTCACTACAAAAAGAGCTTGTTCAGGGCAAGTAACAACAAAATGATCCACGTGAGACCCATTTCGAAGTGACAACCAGAAGCTCAGCACCCAACGATCACCTCTATGTTGCCTTTGTTCTCTTATGTGGACGACAACTTTGTATTTATCTCAATCCATCAGCTCAGACTCTTACTTATTCTCCCAAAGCCCCATTATCATCCTGCCTGACCTTCAGTTACCAAGTTTGTCAGCCATGTGTTCAGCTCACACCAAGATTTGAATACCAAGATCCCAAAGATACTTCGTTCTCAAATTCTTTGTCATAGAGATTTCCCTTTGTCTTAGTGTTAATCAAATTCCAAATAAAACTTCCTGGCAATTAAAGAAATCCACCGACTTGGTTTATTCTTTCTTTTTCATGTGTTCTTGCTCAATGCTGGAACAATTTTATGAAACAGAACTGCACTTCAGCAGCCATTAAGTTTAACCCAACCCCCAAAGGAATACTGACTAGGCTATACTTTGCAATCATCATCCAGCCTCTGCACATTATAAGGTGTTTTGTACAAAGTCGATAGAGTTCATCATTTCTTTCTTTTTTCCCCAAGTCATTGACTCATAAATGTATCCTATAAATACTTCCATTATATTCCTTCTTCTGCAGAGAGCTAGTCATGTGTTTGTGTGACTTGCAGTCTTCCATGAATCACTTTGTCCAATCTTTGTGTCACACCTTGGATACAGTTGGTGAATCGTCATTGTGGGATAAACTTCCTTGCTACGATAATGAAGAAAAACGATCATTTCAGAGAGACTGAATTCTGATGTGGGAAGGAGAGAACAAGATATGTTATAAAGTTTTGCTTATGAATAACGGGAAAGAGTTTGGCTCCACGTATGGTCAATGTAGCATGGAGAATCAGGAAAGGAAAATTGTTAGGACATTCCAAGGAGGCATCATTCTTACTTTCTTTGCCAAGGAATCACTCTTCAGAGAGGAGGTTAGACCTAGACAACTGATCTCTTAAGGCACAACACTTATGTAGGAGGTAAGAATATGGGCATATTTTCATTCATGTTTATTAAAGCACAAAATCTTACTACTAGAAAAGTCACCTTCCATGAAATCTGGGAATTTTTTGGAGAATATTTCAAATTTCATATGCTGCCATTGAGGCTAAAGGCCTTGGATGGATAGCAACCACTTGGCAGGAACTGAGAACTGAAGGAAAACATGGTTTATCCAAAATCCTGCATCTATTGAATCCTGACCAAAAATGGAGGTGATACAAATGTTTCTGCGCCTTATGGTTTCTTGCAATCAGAGATATAACTAGGGAGGGCCAACTAGAGCTCTACCCAGAGACTCTGAAATGCTACTGGCAACTCTAGAAATTATCACGCTTGCCCAGGATGATTCATTAATGCAACTCCAAATTCAACTCCAGTCTGAAGAGACTTGATGAGTTCCCAGGAGCTGCATCCCACATCAGTTCCTCCAATGCCTAACTCTACCTGGCTCTTATTTTCTCTACCACTGTTCCTTAATCTCCCTAGAAATAGTCTCATGATAACTTAGGATCTCCACTCACATGGGACAAGTGTCTAAACAAGGTTTCTACATTCCCTTCACATGATCTTGTCCCGAGGTCTTTATTGCATGTTTTGTGTTGCTTTCCCTAGGGGGACTGATGCACAAAAATGGCAGGTTGTCCCTCCATTTCCAGGGTATTTTGTCACTGTATCAGTGAGGGAGGGGAGAAGGCTGTCGAAGCAACGTTCAGCCTAATCCCGCAGAAGCTAGTAAATCAGTGAATATGGCACATTGACTTCATTAAAGAAACAAGTTTTCATATTTTCATTCTGCACAAGTATTATGTCTTTGCAGATTAATTTAATTCAACAAACAGGCATTAAATACCTCCTGTGTTTATGTACTTAAATACATGTGTATTAAATACCATATTTGGGTGACACTGGCAATTCAAAGCTGGAAAAAATGCCATGCTATTCCGTTTTTACATGCTGATTATGATGAATATCAGATAATCCAAAAGATAAGCACCATTTTAAATATTCTAGCAACCACTGAGAGAGAACACCACTGATTATTCACCACCACTTACAGAATGAAAAATAAGTGTAGTAATGAATCAGCATACTTCTCACTACTGTCAAAAGATGAATAACATTATTGTCTAAAAATGCTTCAGGAGCCAAGAAGGTGAGGCTCACACTTAGAAAGGATCATATTTTCAGGAAAATAGCTCACTTTCTATCTTAAGAAGAAAAAAAATGAAAACAAAGTAAGAGAAGCATTATGGCACCTTCTTTTTCCTTTTTATAACTGAATATCTGTCCTGGGTGTACAATGGCTGCATGATAAACTTCCAGAGATGAATTTTGATAAAAATGGAGGTGAAAGCTAGTGAGCCACTCAGCTTGTCTCAACAATGACAGAAATGCATTGAAGATGTGAAAACTAAAATATAGAGTATATTTGAAATAACTATATTCAACAATCAGTAAGTATTGTGCTCTTCCTAACTTTTAAAACACATCTTTGTCATTCAAGAAACATCCCCTCTATATATTACTTTAAATAAAAAAAAATACTTATTTGCCAGACCCTAGCTGGTTATAAGTGACTCAACAGAAGTCATTGTGGTACAGTGGAAGACAAGTGACTCAGAGGCCAAGGCCCTAAGGTTCAAATCCACACCTGAAATGACATGTGGGAGTTTACCTGAGTCACTTAACATTCCTGGGCCTCAGGTATCTCATCTGTAAATGGACGATTAAGACTTCAAGACCTCTGTGATTCCCTCTGGTTAGAAATCCATGGCCCATGTGCATAATAACGATCTGTGGTTTTGTTTCAGCGGGGGCTCTCTTCATTGATGCAGATGGCATCCTCTACAAAGCAGTTGATGATCTTTGTCAGAGGAAAGAAAAAAGTACTGGAAGCAAAGTGTGTGCCCTGCAATGGGAGAATGGATGGAAAAATTGCATTTTTTAATGCAGTGGGATTTTCCTGTGCACAAGATGTGAAGATGAAGAATCCTGAGAAATTTGAAAGCCATTAATACAGATGCACAGTTGAGTAAGCTGAGACAGTACATCAGCACACAAAATGACCCACAGGAATAGAACAGAAAACAAGGCTGCCAGACATCAGAATTCACAGCAGTTCATTGACCTATCTTGATTTCAGAGGACTGATGAAGAACCATACCTCTTTGCTCTCAGAACAAATTCTGCAGACTACAGGTACGTATTGAAACACATGAGGTCAGCTGGGGTCGATGGGTAAGTTTGTTTTGCTTAATCATACTTCTTTGTCAGAAGAATGGATTCTGTTGGGGAGAGGGTAGTATTAAGAAAAGAAAAGGTTTCTTCTGGAGGGATTAATAAAATTTTTTTCCCTCCTGCATGTTCTGTCATTGAAAACTCCATTACTCTCTTCTTGTCAGTGGCCTAGCAATAAGTTTATCCAGGGAATCAAACAACTGAGCTCAGAGAGTCTGAGCTCATTATTTTTATAGATGATCTCTGAAGGCAGCACAGATAAATGCATTTGCACCATGTCACCCAAGACATAAAATTGGAGTTTAAACCCAAGTTCCTCAACTTCAAATCAAATACTCTTTCTACTGTACCATTCTACTTCTAAGGTTCTAAGGCACAATAATGAAGGCCAGCATTGGGTGCAGACCTGAAATGTTCGAGTATAGTAGGAACTACTGGACCTTGTAATCTTCATGACATCAAGGTTGTCAATTCAATGTTGAATTCTTTCCACAGTGACAGCTCAGAGGAAGAGATCATGATAGTCATTACAGAATGAAAATCCAGATATTATACTAAATTTCAATGAATCTCTGCCATATCAAATATCAAACGATCAAATGAGATATTATCTAGGGGAACATGGCTTTGATTAGGAAGAGTGACATTACTAACAAGTGAGAATGAAGAGCTTCCTTATAAGTTACTGGTTTACCAAGTAATTTTGACTGAGAATTTAATGAACTATGATTGAATACTTCATTTTGAAAATTTAATGAACCTTACCTCTGATAACAAACTGGGTGTGTGGCATTCCATATAATGTCACATTTCTGCAATGTGTTGCTAAGATTTTCTGAACTGTTTTCCCCCTTTCTTCTTTCTTCTTTATTATATAGTATGACTCTCCCAGAGGTAGGCAGCGAACAATATTTACAAGATGCAGGTGAGGGAAAAATAAAATATATCAACAGAATTGTGAAGGATAACCAAGTGATAAAAGAATGGTAATAGATAGTCTATAGGTGGTGTGATTGTTTGCATTTCCTATCCCTTTTCTACCACTGAAGGGATACCAGGGAGCTGAAGAAAACTGGATGGCCTTGGAGAAATTGAAAAGCTCACTTAATGACTTCCAAGTTTGCTCCTCCAACTCTTCTGTTCCTGCTCTGGGAAAACGAAGCCCATGTTGTTTAATAAGACATTGTAACAAACACAGCATCTGGGTAGGAACAAAGGATCAAAGGTCTTGCTTGTGCAAAGTGACTGTATAGAATGTTTGATGTAGACATATTTGAACCCAAATTCTTGGGACATCAGGAATGCTTCCATGTCCCCTGAAGGGAGAATATTCTGTCACAGTGGGGAATGACCATACCTTAGTATTTGCTACAGTATCAATGCAAGGTGTACATTTCTTTTTTTCTTGAGCCAAGGGATTTCATTGATTCCTGCCTGTTTTCCAGTACCGGAGAGATTTTATGAACTTTGATGATGTCTCCCTTTTTTCACTCTTTCTATACCATAGAGTTTATTTTGTTTCTCAGTTTCTTCTCCACTATTTCTTTTGGTTCATCCATGCATTCTATAGGGAGAATTTAAACTTGTTGTATGTACTAGACACTAGGGTAGGAATGATGGATTCATATAGGAA